TTGGTGTTTACATTGCCGCATACATTGGTTTTTCTGATGATTGCTTCAAGAACTAGGTTGAACAGCATGGTTGAAAGTGCGTCTCCCTGTCTCACCCCCATGTTGATGTCAAACAGAGAAGACTCTCCATCTACTCTAACTGCGGCTTTTGAATCCTGCAACGACAGTTTTATGAGGCTGATATATTTTTTGGTATATCTAGATTTCAGAGGTCTTCCAGCATTTTGTCTATTTTCACACTATCAAAAGCTTGTTTAAAGTCTATATACATATTATATAGTTCTATATCGTATTCATAAGCTTTCTCTTGTATCGTTCTAGGTATGAATATGTTGTCTGTAGTAGCTCTAATAATCTGTAATCCATTTTAATAAGCACCAAGTATATTTTTGGAGTATTCTGAAAATCTAGTGTAGATAATGCCAGAAAGGATTTTGTATATTAAATTTAGCAACGTAATTTTTCTATAATTCTGGCATTCTCTCTTATCTCCTTTTTTATATATTGGTTATGTAGGACTAACTGCTCATTCCTCTGGCATTTGCTCCTTGGTCCATACCCACTTTATCAGGTAATGGATTCTTCTCCATAGTTCGGGTCCTCAATAGTTCAACAATTCTGCCGAAACTTAGTCCATTCCTGACGCTTTACTGTTTTTTAGTTTCTTTATTATTTGAACTACCTCTTCATAACTCGGATTTTCAATGCGATACTCCTCCGTAAAGTATATTGTCGTTTTGATCATTTCCAATATCTGCATTTATAGGTTTTCCTCAAAGTATTCTTTCCATCTCATTATAATTTTTTGTTTCTCTGTTAATAGTTCTTCGTCCTTGTCTTTGCATATTGTCAATTTTGGTCTAAATCACTGTATGCTTTCTTTTATTTTTTTATAGAATTTTCTGCTCTCATGTCTGTTGTTATGTTCTAGGATTTCTTGTACTTGTCTTTTCAAAGCCTTTTTTTCTTCTGCATATTTTGGTCGCTTCTATTTTTTTTTTTTTCGTTATACAGTTCCCTGCTATTTCTTGTGTTTGTTTGAAGTTGGTTAAGCCTAGCTTGCCTATTTTCCTCTACTTCAGTTCTGCATTCATCATCAGACCATTCTGCATTTCTTTGCCTTTTGGCTTTTCCGGCAGTTTCCTTTGCAAATTCCGTGATTATTAGTTTTTTAATTGTCTCCATTCTTCCTCTGCAGTATCTTCTCTGATTCCGTTGAGTTTTATTTGGAGAGTATTTTAATATTCGTGTGTCTTTGTTGGACTTTTGAATCCTTCAACATTCCATTTTTTAGTTTGGCTATTTTCCCTTGCCTCTCCACTGTCGCGATTTTTTGCCGCAATTTTACCCCTACAAGATAGAGTTCGCCCCGCGATACGTTCTTACATTAGTTTATGTCTGTTGCCCATCTTTTTGAGATGAGGATGTGGTCAATTTGATTGGCTTCATTGGTTCCTGGTATTTTCCATGTTCCTTTATGGATATATTTTCTATAGAAGTTAGTGCTGACAACTACATAATTATTTGCTGCCGTAAATTGTGCAACCCTAAGTCCATTTTGAATGGTTTCATTATGCAAACCATGTTTCCCAAATATGTTTACGAAAGTTTTTTCTTTCCCAAGCTTATCATCAAAGTCGCCTAATGTTATAACAGCATCGTGTCTTTGGATTTTATCGCATACTTCCTGAAGTTCTCTATTAAATCTTTCAACCTCGTCTTCATCAGCCTCTTCCGTCAGTGCATATACATTAACCATTGTCACGTTATGCAGTTTAACTTTGAGTTTTACGGTGCAAATTCTGTCTGATATTGGTGTAAAAGCGATAATGGCTTTTCGCAGTGTTTTGGTTTCGCAATACACCAATATATAAAATATTGAGCAAGTCAATATTTTAAGATACTTATTTACACGATAATCATAATTTATAACACATATAAGGCATTAGAAGTATTAATGGATAACATTATGAAGCTACAAGAGACTTTGATCTGGTCCAAAGTTAAAAAATTCTAAATATATGATATTAAAACTCAAAATGAATCTAATATTCCAGTAGTCAGAGATTTGATCTTTAAAAACGAGACGAACAAGCTAAATATTGCTGAGAATGCCAATTTTGAGACCCCAAAAAAGATGTAAAAAAGTTTGAGACTCCTACCCCCTTCTCTAGCGCGAAATCATTTTTTTAAATAAAATTTGTATCAACTCGACGGTAAAAATTCGATATCTTTTAATAAAAAAATTTTCATTGGTAGAGCCTAATATTTAAAACTTATAGAATGAAATTTTAGATAGTAGAAATAGACGTTGAAATTTTACAGTAAAAACGTTCTAAAAACTTTAAACCTTCGTTTGAACAAGTACAATTTTCGAAACTACACAATTTCACCTACATATTTCACCCAACGCCATTTTCGTAAATGCATTTCCCGTGACGTGAGATTGTTTGTAATGTGACAGTTTAAATTCAGTGTTTTTTAGGCATATTTCAAATGTTTCTTATTTGTTGCCACAACTCAAGATCGGCATTTTATGTTTTTTAAGGTTTAGGCTCTAAAAACGGAAAATCCACAGCGACAGGTCAATGAAAGTGATAATTCTTATTGATCTCGTGAGAATCGTAAACAATGGCAAAAATTGCGCAACGTTTATAAACAAAACTAAACCCACACCTAAATAAAATTCTGTGGTAAAAATAATTTCTTTCGTAATCTTACAGGATCGAACTTGGGTAACACACAACAAATACTAAGGATAACGGCACTTGAAATCTCTTTATCTGATAGAGAGACTGCTTTCTCAGTCTAGTTTAAGTTCCATAAGCCAAACAAGACGTAGCACTTAATGAAACGTGTAGATCCATTATAGGCTTCCGTAAATCAACCTCTGTGGATAAAATCTATTACTTGAAATCTCTCCACCAGGAGCTATATGAGAGACGCGACCGCCTACAAAGAGAGAATACATTTTAAAGACCCTCTAAATGGTATCCATATCGGCACCACGTATGCTAAAATCATTGTGTAAACATCAAGTACTAAGGACAGCGCTCATCAAACTACATCTAAATCATAGAGATAGATAGCATCAAAAGATGATCATGGATGGTGCCATTACAAGAACTAGCTCCTGGTCACGATGAATCATATCATATCTAAAAATCTCGTAAAATATTACGGACTGTTGGATATTGCCGATAGCTTAATATGGTGTCCTTAGATCTCGCTTGATACATTTTCAGTTTTCATCGGTTATTGTGACTTCTTGTGAAGAGACAACAAAATCAATGCTCATATCATCAAAGGACTTTCAAAGTTAATGTTTGGGCAGGAATTCTGGATAACAATCTAATAGTCCCAGTATTTCTTCCCAACAATTTAAATGGTGATCATTATTTGCAGTTGTTGGCAAACGATTTACAAGAGTATTTGGAAGAAGTGAATGTTGCAATAAGGCAAAATATGTGGTTTCTACAAGATGGCGCTCCACCGCATTACAGTAATGAAGTCCGGGAATACCTTTGCAGTCAGTATCCTGATCGGTGGATTGGAAGGGGTCGTAACTCACCAATTTCTTGGCCACCCAGAAGTCCAGGTCTTAACCCCAAGGACTTTTGCTTTTGGGAGTTTATGCAAGAGAAAGTGTATTCTGTATCAATAGAGGACGATCAACAATTGAGGGTTAGAATAATTGAAGCTGTAAATCAATTTCGTTACAAAAATATGATTTTTCAGCGTATTCGGTTTTCCTTATTAAAACGATACCGAACGTGTATTGAAGAAAATGGTGGTCATTTTGAACATTTATTGTAATATCATATTTATAGAGATTATAGACATTTTTTGTACTTGTTAATTCATTTAAGCCATTCATTTAGTTGCACGTAATTTTTTAAAGGTTAACGAAACTCAATAAAAACTGTTTTTTTGAAAAAAGTGATAAGAGGCAAAAAGTTTTTAAAAATAATGTGTTAAACTAATGATGCCACAAAATTCATTTGATTTGAACGTACTCAAAAGTTTGGGGGATTTAGGGCTGCACACCCCCCTTAAAATTTTTCCGTGTGCTTAGATTTTGTTGTTTCTTTTTTATGAAAAATGCTTTCAGAACAAGAAAGTAATGTGTCCATTTTTATTACAAAATGTCAAGCAGTTTAGGAGATAATGCAAAAAAACAATTTTTATTTTGTAATTTCAAATAACTGTATTTTTTTTTGTGTACACACTTTTGTACTAAGGTAAGTTGGATTTAATCAATTTATTTTTGTCCCCGGAATGCGTGATTTAATTTATGACATACCTTTTTGAAACACCCTGTAGGTATATTGGTGAAGTTCAGATACACTGTCTTATTTCATATCGACATCATAAATTACGGTACCAATTTTAAGCGATCATTATCACAGAGTGTTCCATAAATATTTAATATAGAAGAAAGTGAATTAGATATTTTATATATAGATTGAATTGTGTCAAGATATTTGATAATAATTTTTTTTTGAAATTTCTCTAAACCCATGGTACAATAAAATTCACAGTCTTCTTTAAGCATTTCAATCTACGCGCTAATAAATTCTTCAACTGGGTGATTTATTTTCCAACATTAGTTTGTCCATGGGTCCAAAAACTCACTGAATTTCTTTATCATATTCTAGAAAAGTACACGATTTGATATGTATTGCAAAAGAAAATCTGCTCCTTTTGTTGTTTCTTTTGTACAGTTTGAAAAATCCTCCCGTCTACACGTTTTTACCAAATATACACTAAGTCTGCTCATACAACAAATCTTTTAATAAATACGATTTTCAGTTATAGTATAGACATTACAGGTACAATATAATATTATGTACTTATTTTCATTTATATTTTGCTTTTTATTTCGCAGTACTCATCCCATTCTCACACTTACATCCAATAGATAGATTACCAGACATACAGACAAATTGTATTCAAAAATGCCTCTTTAATACCAGCTGCTTTTTCCGTTGCTTTTTGACATTTTGTATTTTTATAGGTTATTTTATTATTAACAAAATGGAAAATCCTTCTTTAAAATACATAACAAATCCAGATTTTGGAAAACCACCCGATGAACAAAATGAGGTAAATAACATATTTCTTTAATTATCAAGGGAAGACGGTTATTTAATATGTACTCACGTGCGAATATGAGGTTATGTTTTCACTAAATATTTAAATTTTTTAAAGATTCTGCAAAGAAATGGAGAACCTCACACAACCAGCTTTAACTATATGCTTAACCAAGGACTGTCAGAAGCTATTAAAAATCTAAACCCTGTGGAATTTTTGCTAAATGAACGAAAAATTAAACTTACAATTACAAACTTTTTATTTCAAAAACCGGAGGTGCCTCCCGAAATGGTGCTAGTTAAAAATAAAACAATTTATCCTACATCATGTAGACAAAGTGCAAATACATATAAGGGGAAGTTTTTAGTTGAAATTGATTGGTATATTGATAATGAACAACAACAATCGTTTACCAAAGATTTGGGAGAGATACCAGTCATGGTTAAGGTAAGAAAATTAAATCTGCATATGCTTATTTTAAACTAGTACTAATGCCAAAACTACAAATAGATAATGTTGTTCGAATTATTTACTAGTAGACATGCTGGAATAAACATTATCCCAAGCTAATACCTTGAAAAAACCGTTATTTTGTATACCTAAAATAACTTCATAGATTATTCGGCATAACATTTTAAATATTAACCATGACAAAATAACTAATATGTATATGTATGTATTCACATAATAGTAATCTACAATGTAATATGTTTTGATAAATTATGTTTACAAAACATAATTTCACATTTTCCATCTATACTTATTAATGACTTTATTGTGAGTGAATGTGAACAAATCTGTTAATATAGTTAATACCAAACATAAATTCAATTACGTATTCAATATTCCAAAATATTGTTTTGTTAAAAATCCTTTGATGGTACTATTTTGCCAAGCTTGATGGCCTGAGTTAGTTTCCCAGCACATACAACAGAAATTTTTCAATTTCTCATTTAACTGAACTACTACTGCTTTGGAGGACACAATATACAAAAAAAATATTTCTCACAAAGATCGACAGGCATTAATGAACACATGTGTCATAAGCCACTTAAAAATTATACTCAATATATTAGAAATAAGCAAATTATTGAAAGTTTTAAGTTTGGACCTAATAATAGTGTTGAGTTGGTAAATGTAATTTGGTTCAATTAGGAAAATAGTTCTAGTCCAGTCTTGGTTTTAGTGAAAATTGATCTTTGTAGATATAATATATCCAGGAAGTTGTTTATAACTAGTATCAATGTGTTCCAGCTGAAGAATTTTAGTAAAAAATGTACAGCAATAACTTTGCAGTCTCCAAATATAAAAACATCCACTCTATTTTGTCTGCCAAGCATTCTATCACATTTTAATACTATGTATGAAGCATTACTGAGAAAATTTGCTATTAACATTTTCTCCTCTAAAAAAAACTACATATAATCTTAGCTTTTTCTTTGTGCTAGTCATAGTTCCTAGTGCTTACCATTTTTAGTGTTGATATATGACTGTCTTTCTCTTTTATAGATAGATGTTGACTGTTATTAAAAACTTTGTTTTATAACATATCAACCTGTTGCTCATACATTATTCAAATACTTTCGAGAAACTCAGCAATGAGCTAATTCGCTGATAGTTCTCAATCTGAGTCAAACTACCTTTCTTGTGTTAAGTTCTAATCATTGGTAATTTAAGTTTATCTGGGAACACACCCAATTTACAAGAAGTATTTACTATATTGTGTTAATGGTATGACAATCTCATTTACCCATTTTTTAATGACTGATGTTAAAATTTCATTATTCCTAATACTTTCTTTACTTTTGAAATCTTTTAATTATAAAAACAATTTCTCCCTGAGTTACAGGCCTTAAAAACAGATCTATTCATAAATTTGCTTAGTAAATTATCACAGTTCAAAGGAAATTGGAAGTGATTTATAGCACATATCTACTTACTCCATCAATAGCCCAGTCTGGTTATGCAAAAATCATCTATTTGACTGCAAACTTTTTCTCAGATATCTGAAGCTTTTAATTTAAGACATACGTGGGGGTACTAGATGATGAATAGATGGAAAAGTACTTGTATTTTTACCTTGCATTTTTTTTAAACAATAATTGATGGTCACATTTTGATTTTTTGTCTAAAGTTTTTTTTTCCTTATATTTTACATAAGCAATATTTATTTCATTTTTTTATATCAACAATATCTTTATTTTCCCCTTTTTTCTAAAATAAAATTGATAAATAATTTACGGAGATATTTGCAAAAAAAGTAATTTTTTTGCACTAATTTATAAATTTTATTAATTTTTTTATTAACAAAATAAAATGTTATTAATACATTTGAACATCGAGGAATTACTGTCTTTTAAATTTGTGCGAAATTTCCTCCGATCGGTCAAATACTTTAAAAGTTATTTAAATTATTTATCCCTGCGGCTAAATATTTAAATAATTGAACTTGCTTTATTAATGTTGCTAAACACATTTAGCAAATTTAATAGGATTCTTTAAGACATAAACTATCTCAGAAGTTAAATGCATATTCCGTTTTCATACAAATTATTTACAAAATAAACATTTGAAAAAGGTGTATGTCTAACATAAACAATTGTAATAACTTTTATATTTCTCAAGCTACAGACTTGTACATACAACCATTGGAGAGCTGGTAAAAAAATTCACATTAAAAAAACCTTTTATGATCAATAGGAACGAAATTAGGGACTATTTTAAAAAAATATATATGTCCATTGTTTATAAACATTAAAAAAAGTAAAATTGGGATAAATTTTGAATCATTCATCTAAACTTTATATTTGAAACTTATAGCCATAAAATTCATCCAATTTTTCGAAAGTTCCTTCGAAACGAAGGTACATATTTTCGAAAGATCGACATAGGAAAGTGGAGGGGATAACTGTTTCAGATTCGTTTATTTTTTTCGAGATCGGAACTTCAAATTGAAACATGTAGGAAACATTTACATTACCTCGGCTTCCGTTGCAGCTAGAAGCCTCTTTTTTTAATCTGGATAGCTCGTCGAAATATGAATAACTACATAGTTTTCACTGGCCGGGAAATATGGGAAACCTCGGAAAAATTAAGTCCATTCGAAATTCACCGTAAAAAAAATAACCGTACACATTATATTTCTTATATTAATTATAATTATTTACTACTTTGACGATCTATATGTTTAGATATGTGTATAGGTATATGTACAGTACGAGGACGGCAAGCAAACACATTTATTTATGTTTTTAGATCTAAATATCTCCAAAGATCACAGAGTGTACCGTCCTCGTGTCCCTACATTTTATATGTGTCCATGCGAATAGGAGAAAGGTTATCCATATAATAGGAAAACTATAATATATCTTAGTATGCGTAAAATAGGCGGGATGAGTAGCAGCTGCCACGCTCCAAAATTTCGTCAAAATAGTCCCTAACTTCGTTCCTATTGGTCGTAGAAGGTTTTTTTAATGTAAGTTTTTTACCAGCTATCCAATGGTTGTACGTACAACTCTGTAACTTGAAAAATATAGAAATTATTACAATTTTGTTTATAAGTAAAAAACATACCCCTTTTTTAAACGTTTATTTTGTAAATAATTTCGATGAAAACGCAATATGCACTTAACTTCTGTGATAGTTTAAGTGTTAAAGAATCCTATGAAATTTGCTACATGTGTCATAGCATCATTAATAGAGCAAGTTCAATAGTTTAAATATTTAGCCTCATGGATAAATAAATTAAATAACTTTTAAACTATTCGACCGATCGGGGGAAATTTCGCACAAAATTAAAATACGATAATTCCTTGATGTTCAAATGTATTACTAAAATTTTATTTTGTTAATAAAATTTATGAATTAATGCAAAAAAAAAACTGAAAATATAAACAAAAAATAAAGATATTCTTGATATAAAAAAATGATATAAATATCGTTTATGTAAAATAGAAGGGAACACTTATAGACAAAAAATCAAGTTGTGGCCATCAATTATTGTTTAAAAAAACGCGAGGTAAAAATACGAGTACTTTTTCATCTATTCGTCATCTAGTAACTCCCACATATATCTTAACAGATTCAGATATCCGCGAAAAATTTTTCGACCTTTTTTTTAACCAGACTGGTCTACAACCCTTCGGACGTGACTAGAGACAGGTAATTTTACTATAAAGTGATCTAACGAAGTTGTGTTGAAATTTTTATCATTGTATAAATTACCCAACTTACTAAATTGTTTACCACCAACACTGATGGAGTACAACAGACTTAACCCTCAATGCTCACCATGGGAGTTGTCTGGAATGGTCATCCTACATTTTGGGGTAGACCAAAGCATTTATCAAAAAGCAAATATTTACTAATATTTGTAACACCCTACGATATGACATCCCACACAGTAATGTGTGGTGCCAACGATTGTCTCTTTTCTGATCGTTAATATCGATTTTTTGTTTTTCTGTACCGACCGTAAACCAGTGAAGTATGCCTTTCCACGAGCTGTGGAGAATGTGGAGAGTCGTTCTTCATCGGCGAAGAGAATTAGAAAATACGTATTAGAAAAAGACAGAATATAAAAAGACGAGAACTAACAACGTGGAATACCGTTTTTCTTCTCAATATTTGTGGTTTAGGATACCTGGCATGGGGCAAAACTGTCTATTCATGGCCGGCGCGTGTTATTCTCTTGTTTGTTAAAAAATTAACCCGGTTCAAAAGAAAATGGGAAGCTGATGCACGGCATGCCCAACCCTTCCGACGTTACTAGGGAAAGGTACGGTCAGTGTCATGGTAATTTTACTATGGAGTGTCTAACGAAGCTGTATTGGTATTGTTATCATTATATAAATTACCCAACTTAATAAAATTTTTATCAAACCCCCTCTGTGGCTCAGTTGTAAGAGCGCCTACCTTTAAACCTAAAGGTCGTGAGTTCGAATCCCATCTGGGTGGAGAAATTTTCGTTTATTAAAAATTAATGAATGAAAATAATTTCTATCCATGTGCGATCGGTACTCACCGGAGGGACCGCAGACGTTCGGATACAATTAGCGTCTCTTAGCAAAGACAATGACGTCGACTTTGCTAAGTATCAAGACAATTACTCTACACACACACACACACACACACACACACACTACACTAGGTACCTGACTGAACCATGCCAATGATCATAGTTGTCGAGGCATTAACTCAATAAAAAAAAAAAAAAAAATTATCGCCAACACTGACACAACAGACTGAACCCTTAATTATCACTATCGGAATGGTTCTACTACATTTTGGGGTAGGTCGAGTGCATTTATCAGTAACATGGGATGCCAACCGTGGTCTCTTTTCTGATCGTTAATATCGATTTTCTGTTTCTCTTTTCGGACGTAAAGCAGGGAAGAAAGCCAGTCCACCAGCTGTCTGATTCCGGCTTTAACATCAGATAGAACACG